GACATCAAATCCAGAAAGGCCGGTATTCAGGATCGAGAACGAAGCTGGGGTAACTGTGGAAACGCTGAACTTGGTAAGGAAGTACCTAAAGCACATAAAACAGTCACAGTAAGGGTGGATGTTTCGAACTGGTGGAATGTGACAAACACAACTAAGTGAGTACGTGGGGGTCCACCCTCAAGGCTCGGTTCTAGCACAACTGATATTCCTAATTTGTGTGACTGACCTTCCCGAGGGAGTGAGATTGTATATGTCAATGTTTGCACACGACTCAAAGATAATGAGGAATGTAAAAAACGAAGTAGCCTACAAAAGTTACAGGAAGACTGGCAACCTTCTGGAGATAGGCAGCCACTAATGGTTGCTAGAATTCTGTCTCAAGAAGTGTAAAATAATGAAGATAGAAAAATGAGAAGGGAGACCAGAAGATATCTACACCATTAGGGAAAGGCTACAGGAATCGAAAAGAGTGAATATAATTTCAACAATAACATCGGAGGCATAGATGAACAGGGTAACATCAGCAGCATAAAGACGCAGTCAAACATTAGAATGACGTTTAGAAACCTAAATCAGAACTCTTTCAAAGCAATCTGCACAACCTTTGCTTGACTAATACTGTTATATGCATCACCGGCATTGAATCTGCACCTTGTAATGCGTAAAACCAAAAGTTAAAAATACAGGTGTTTGCAACAAGATTTGTGTCAGAACTAGGAGAGTTATGAAGGTAGGTTAAATGAATTAGATCTCACAACCCTAGAGAACAGTAAAAACAACAGGAGGGATATGATCTCATCATACAAAATACTGAGGGGGGAATAGACATGGACAGCCTATTCAAATTGAGAGAAATTAGGGCGAGACGACCTAGTGGAAACAGGAAACACAAATGAGCCGAAGACATGTAAGGATATACTCGTACTCTGAATGGGTTGTGGAAGCCACCTACATCCACAAGACACGATTCTACAAGTTATTCGAACAATACAATATTTAAATTATAATGCAACAGGTACAACAAGACCAGTAGGTTTCAGGAAAATTCCTGCGCAGGCCCTAACTGGCTGGACCACTAAGTGTTGCTTGTTACTGCTTTACTTGGGCGGAGTGTCAGTATTTATGACTCGTATGGTCGCTTCAGTAAGATTTTGTCCCATGTGTTTAACAACTTCTGCTTTGTTGAATCTAAGTTGAAATCTTATTGGGTTTGTAACTGTGTTCACCGCATATGTAAGTTGCTTAGACCAATACTGTCTACTTACATAAGTTAGACTTTACTTATAGTCGTTGTCGAACCCATTGTTGATATAATCATAGGTTAAACGTGCCTCTGTAACCTTTTTCCATTAACGCCAATTGTTTGGGTATAGCCTATAGTTTAATTAATTTAGTTCATTTATTATACACCCCATACCCATCTTGTGGGCGGTAGTGGAAAGGATTACAGAGGAACATAATGGGCTCAGGGACTGAACCCCACAATTCATTTAGCTAAGCAAGTTACAATCTTGATGAGCTAGTTACAAAATTCAGTATAAGTCGTCACTTCAACAATGGGTTCGAGATCGACCACAAGTTCAGTTTCTAAGTTAAGCAACTGACGTGTGGAGAGCTAGTGTCACAATTGATATGTTTGTCCTGCACACCGCCCCCCATCCAGTGGGCAGCGGTGGATAGGTTACAATCACTCAGTTACTACCTACAGTTAGCAGACTGGGGATATTTAGCTAAAATTTCTGATAGCAGATCATTTTGAATGAAATATTTACACATCGTTGGAACATTGGTTTTAGAATTGTCTCAAAATTCACGTATCTTTTCGCACTCCATCACATAGTGACGGAGGGTGTGCGAATAATTTTGTTGACACAGTTTACATTTGGTCAGGTCTACATCGGCAGATAATGAGAATTCCCAGAGATACTTGTAACCGAGTCTAAGCCGAGCAGTAGTAACATCTAGAAGTCTGCTGATTTTATTGGATGATCCATAGATGTGTGGCTCTTCTTGCATGATAGTATGATGATAGATGGAATTACTGGTGTCAATTTCACTTTGCCTCAGATCTACAAGATCTTGTTGAAGTTCTCTGTGTACTGCTGCTCTCAGATTCCTCATTGACAATCCAAGGTTACACTCAACGGCTCCTTTAAAGGCAGATTCTTTGGCTAACTTATCAGCTCTATCATGCATTCGGAGGCCAACATGAGATGGAGACCACATGAAATGGACTCTGTTACCATCCTTATTAATTTTGTTGTATTTGTGTCTAGCTTCGGACACGAGCATGTTACAGTTATGTCTTAAAGAGTTGAGAGCATTTAAGGATGATAAGGAGTCACATACAATTAATGTATCAAGTTTGGAGACTTGTACACATTTCAGTGCAAGGAGCAAGACAAATAGTTCGGTCTGAAGGGTAGAGGCCCAGTTGTTTATACGGACTCCCCACTCAAAGTAGAAGCCATCGCCCATTGTCAGGACAGCTGCACCCGTGTTGCGGTGTAGGGAACAATCAGTGTATATGATTTGAGAGAGAGAATGCTCTGTGGACAGAGCATCAATATGGCTTAAGGCGTTGAGCCTATAGCGGGTAGCATAGTAAATGAAATACACCGGACTGCAACTCATCGATATAGAAAACGGTGGATAAATTCAGCATCACAAAGGACGACGTTAAGTCTATTTTAGGAGTAACAATGACAAAATTGCTAATATTTATTTATTTATTTATTTATATATATACAAAAAGATACATTGGGTTAGAGAGAATACATAGCATAGTATTTACAATCTTGTAAAACCACTAGTACGCGCAGCGTTTCGGGCAGGTCCTTAATCTAACAGATAATTTTAAGTAGGTAAATTCTAGCAGAATTAATAAAATGATAACAGATACATTGCAAGAAAAAAATGAGATGAGAGAGAAAAGTAAGTATATTAAAGCGCATTGGTATATTAAAGCTCTGGTTGATTACATTGACAACTTGATTGGTAATTTAAACATGATTAACAGACACCGTACAGCAGATTGATAGCACATATAAGAAGACAGTAATGATCACATTGGTAAAGATGTTCGGATTGGGTACATAAAGATAGGGAGATTGGGTAGCAATAGATACAGTGCAATTTTAAAGCAACACGGTAAAAAACTTATTTATTTAAAGCAACAAGGTAAAAAACTTATTTATTTATTCACCACGGAGAACAGTCTCCGTGGTGTAGTGTGGTAAGACACTCGCCTGGCGTTCCGCGAGCGCTTTGTCATGGGTTCGTATTCTGGCCGGGGAGGATTTACTGGGCGCAATTCCTTAACTGTAGCCTCTGTTTAACGCAACAGTAAAATGTGTACTTGGGTGAAAAAACGATTCTTCGCGGCAGGGGATCGTATTCCAGGGACCTGCCCGAAACGCTACGCGTACTAGTGGCTGTACAAGAATGTAACAACTCTTGTATATATCTAAAAAAAAAAACTATGCAGATGAGATTAGGTACTTTTTAGTTTTGTTTTTGAATGACGCAAAAGTTGGACAGCTTTTCAATTCATTAGGGAGTGAGTTCCATAGACTGGGTCCCTTTATTTGCATAGAGTGTTTACACAGATTAAGTTTGACTCTGGGGATATCAAAGAGATATTTATTTCTGGTGTGGTGATAATGGGTCCTATTACATCTGTTCAGGGAGATTTTCAGAGCAGGATTTGCATTTAAGAACAGGGTTTTGTAGATGTAATTGACACAAGAAAATTTGTGGAGTGAGATTGCTGAAGAAACTCCAAATGTTTAGCATGTTAAGGGAGTTAAACAAGGGGGCTGGGTGTTGTCTGAAAGTAGAATTTGTTATTAGTCTGATAGCAGATTTTTTCTGGGTGATGATGGACTTGAGGTGGTTTGCAGTGGTTAAACCCCATGCTCAGATACCGTAATTAAGATAGGGATAGATTAGTGCATAATATAGAGAGATGAGAGCAGAGTTAGGTACATAATATCTGATTTTGGAGAGTATCCCAACGGTTTTAGAGACTTTCTTAGTTATGTGTTGTATGTGGGTGCTGAAGTTGAGTCTCTTGTCTAGGAATAGGCCAAGAAACTTTCCATCATTTTTATTCCTAATGTTTACATTATCTATCTGAAGCTGAATTGCATTTGTTGATTTGCTTCCAAATAAGATGTAGTAGGTTTTTTTTTATGTTAAGTGTTAGTTTATTGGTTGACATCCATAAGTGGACTTTTTTTTAGTTCATTATTAACAACATCATTTAGTGTATGTGGGTTGGGGGTTAGAGTAGATGAGGGTAGTATCATCAGCAAACAAAATAGGTTTCAGAATGTTAGAGACATTAGGCAGATCATTGATGTATATAAGAAATAGGAGAGGTCCCAAGATGCTGCCCTGTGGCACTCCAACGGTTATTGGTAGAGTGGGAGAGGTTATATTATTGATGGTTACACATTGGTATCTATCACTAAGATAGGATTGGATATAATCCAGTGCATGCCTCGGATTCCATAATGATGGAGTTTACGTAAGAGGTAATTGTGATTAACAGTGTCAAAGGCCTTTCTCAGGTCAATGAAGAGTCCAATCGGAAATACCAATCGAACATCAGTTTGTTAGGGTTTTATAGATCCATGGCAATTTTAATGTTATTTTCTTACATTGATATTACTTACTCTGGGACACAAGCTTTACGGCAGCTCTATACGCTACCAGAGAGAATACAAATCCTTGCCGAAATACTATACGTGAAAATACCTAATGCCAAAGCAAAATTTTATAATTTGTAAAGAAAGTTGAGCTTGCCTCATTCAGAGGATAAGTAGCCTAGTTTGCGATCAGCGTGCGAATTATATACAAATAAAAGCATTGTAGCCGTTAAATTGTTAAATGCTTAAAAAAATGCTGGTTAGGTCGATTGAGCTACGAGTAGATATCGGCAGCGATTCTGAGGGTGGAGAGAGGACCAAGGGGACAGTGAGGAAGGAACAACAATAGTTTACAATATGATTTATTGAGTAAAGCACCAGACAGTACTAGGAATGTTTCCTCTATGATGACCTGCACATTATTTACACACAAATGCATTAACAAAAGTTGGCAGAACATAATAGTGTTATAAAAAAGAGACACTGGAGTTATCTAATTATGCATATTTGAACAACAATGTATGATTCAAACCTCAGTAATGTGACTAGAGGTAAGAAGCCTTCACTCCGTAGTCAATAACAAAGTAACAAAGGTCCCAAAAGACCTTTGGGACCCAAAAGACACTTTTCCTCACCGAAAATAAAGTTACTCCGGGCATCATTACTGATGTTCTTTCGTATAAGAAATTACATTATATACGTTCATATAATACTAACTTATTCTTTTAAACAAATTTTCCTTTCCAATTTCTAATGCATTGTGGGAAAAATCATAAAGGTTTTCCTATGACTGTGAATAAATTATTGTATGAGACTAGTGCCTGTCAATAATAATTCATAAACAGAAATCTAGAGATTATGATTGTTGACATTGATGGTTTGATGGTTTACATAAATTATCTCGTTGACCTCTGTTGACCCAAAATTTATGGCAAGTGGCGAATTCTCCCAGTTTGGTTAACAGGGAAATATGTCAGCCACATCTTTCATGCAGGAAGCGGAGTTTAGTTTGATAATATTGGTTATGCACATCACCAGCTGTGTGATAACACTTTGAGCCTTTGTTGTTTCCTGTCGAACACAGTTCTCCGTTATAAATAATTGGGTGATTAGTTGTTTATAAGCGTTGATATAATAATTCCGGCGAGGCTTTCATGAAGCGTTCAGACGGGTAAATATTGCTTGGTGTGGACAATAACTAGCTGGGTGACCGCGTGGACAGCTTCCCTATTGGCTAGGGGGACCCCGAAAAGCCTAATAGGCTCCGATGTCCCCGACCGTGAGGGCACCTTATAAACCATGTAGAGACGTGGAGCAGCCAACTAATCACCGGGACTTTTCTTCCAAGGGCCAACATTGTCCGAGTCTTGTCATATATAATCTCTAAGATGAGAGGATGAATAACTATGAATAATGAACCGGAAGCGAATAAGACCCGCCGCCTAGGAAGCCTTTAAGGCGCCAGACAAATTAATTTTCAGTCTAAACAGAAGCCGCCTCGACGACCTTCCAACAGTTATCAAATCTCTTGAAGAAGGCAGTGCCAAGCATGGAAGAATCGTGACAGCCAAAGCCGCCCAACATGTGCATGTAAGCGAAGTCTACGCAGTTGACCACACCGTCCCCATTACAGTCAGCGGACACCCCGGCACCTCCCTGTTGGAGAGAGAACGTTGTTATCTTCAGCATTTTAAGTATTTAATGAAGTTTACCTCCCTGTTGGAGAGAGAACATTGCTATCTTCAGCATTTTAAGTATTTAATGAAGTTTTTCTATCATTAAAAATAATAAACAAATATAGTAACTAGTTAAAAGAAAGTTTGACTAGAAAGCAATCCTGCTAATTGAATACGTAAATGTGGTAAGCTTTTATTGAATAAGTATGAGCGTTATTAACCTTTATCAGCAAAAACTATATTAAAAACATTAGTAACCGTGTTTATCAATATTTCATTAACAATAGTAATACTATTTTCTGAAAAATATATTACATGCCTTAATTGAAAGTGCTAAAACATTCAAATTAATATTATTACAATTTAAATACTTTGATGGTTAGAAAGTTGCAGCCTCAGTTCATCAAACTGGAGAATAAAGATTACATTGTATAACATAATGAATCGTCACGATATATTTCACCTGGGTACCTTTAAGTGTGTTAATGTCCGGACTTTAGAAACATTTCTCAGAATCATTAATATGCTCTAAAGTGCAGTTTACTCAAATTATTTTTAGATTTTTTTTTTTAAACTGGACTACAAAAGTTTAAGCAATCCATCGGTGATTTCTTCGTAGATTACAGTGGTTAACGTAAGGGGTTAAGGTTAAACATTCTTATAATGTATTTTATTTTAAAACGTTTTCTTCACCATTACCACCACCAGTCACCCAATCCATAGTTACCACCATCACAAGTGACCCCCACCATCGCTCAATGTGTCCCCCCACCAACAACAATTATATTAGTCACCTCAAATCACTGCAACAAACCGAAGTAACCACTACCAATAACTACCACCACCGTCACCAGCACTCACCAACACCAACAAACAGACCAGCTGCCACTAATCACCAAACCAGTAGTCCTTCACCACCACACCAATCACCAAACAATCATTCCAGGCACCATCACCGCCAGAACTTTGTTGGTTTAGTTTGGTGTTCGGTTTAAGGCCTATCAACCTCTGGATTAAGGCCAACACAATAGTTTACTGGCCAGCTAGTAAGAATTCGTTAGTGCTGAATATGATTAACGACTGAAGTAAACCCTGTGTATATACTCCGAAAAGCGGGATACACTTCTCTGTGTATGCATGTATCCGTTGATGTTTTTTTATCAACGAATATTTCGCAATATAAATATAATAGGCATTAGGCCTAACACCAAACCAAGTTTTCACCAAGGAATATTTACATCTAGAAGTGTATTCAACATTTCCTTTTATTAACTCAAGAGTTTACCTTAGCCCTAGATTTTGTTCATAATAAATAATTCACTGTGATGGCCTTAATAACCTCCCCACGACCGATAAGCCAAAAGCCCAATTACCGAACCAGAAGCCTCATCCTCTCGAACAATCACCAAAAAGGTGAAGCCAAATTTTTAGTGTACATGACCGTGAATGTTTAGTTCTAAACTCCTGGGATTAACGTAAACTTGCAAGCACGAAGCCTAATGACTTTTAGGCTTTAGACCTTAACACCTTAAGCATAATATATCAGAAACCAAAAGATATAACTTAGGTGTATCATGCTGTATGAGGCTGCCGGTTACACACGCCAAGAGATAACATAAGGATTGTACATGGGCAGGTCATCCAAAGATTAAAGTCATGCTTCAAGTATTCTTAATTTGGAAAATTATAGTTATGAAATTACAGTATATTTAGAAGCTACCATTTATTTTCACAAAGAAATATTGGAACTATTTTCTTGTAATAAAGATGTGAAAATTAGTATTACTCAAAATAAGACACCAAACCTGGTAAAAAAAATGTGAATGCTGTATTTCAATTCACTCAGGAATTATAGGCGTAACCGTTAATGTAACCCAATTTGTACTAAATTATTTATTTATTTATTTTTATTTATGTATACAAGCGTTCTTACATTCTTCTACTTACATAATTTTAACTCTCACACCTTCTTGTATCTCACACACTAATGTTGAATTTAATCCCCGGGGATGTTGAACATGCAGCCCATCCTCCGAATAGACAGTACGTTTTAATACTAAATGTAATAAAGTACAATCCTGACTATCGGCATAGTACATAAATACACTTAATCGCCAGCATCGCACCAAAATATTGTGAATATTAGAGTTTACCTGAAAAGCTGTATAGAAAACCACGACCTAACCTCACCTTGGGAGTGTAGGACAAGCATGTAAATAACATTTATTGCTTCTTAATTACAATTAGTACTTAAAATATAGCTATATGGATATTACCATTTTATAAAATTAATAAAACAAAACTAAAGTCTTTCAATAAATTATAAAGTAACTCAGGATTCTTTCAAATTTTGTATAAAATCTCTATTGTTTAATAAAACTGAAAAAGTAATTCTTTATATTTAAAACTTTTGTATGCAGAATTGAACACGAAGACTTCAACCTATAGATTTTAAGTGTATTAACAAAAAATAAGCAGATTATATTGGGAGGTAAGTGTAACAACACAATTAAGTGTATTTATATACTATGCAGATAGTCAGGAATGTACTTATTACATTGAGTATTAAAACGTACTGTCTATTCGGAGGATGGGTTGCAACATGTCATGACAGCTCCTGGCTTACATTGACTTGTGGGTATACATAAGATTCTTAATATTAACTCTGTAATGCCCAGTGATAAATATAAGGATTTTATTCCCTTCCTTTAGTCTGAGTAAACACATTATTGTTAAAACTTGCCAGGTAGCAATATTAAGCGTTCCCCATTTTTAAAAGTGCAATCAATCTAGAAAGGAATTATTACTCTACCATTATATAATCTCAAAATATTTGGCAACCTCATACAACAACATCACAAAAAATTCATAAGTTTAGAAGGGTGGCTTAGAAGTTTATTATACTACAACTAATTATGGTGGGTAATAGCGAGGATGAGTTGAGTGGCGGGTACTGGGGAGTGTAATAAGACTGAGATAAGCGAGTGATCCTACTAAATAACGCCGAGGCGAGCGCGGCATTCTTCAAATTGCTTTTCGAAGATTCCAGTAAGCGGGGCAGAGCATCCGTTCTGGCCGTGCTTGTGAATCCTCACATAGTCGACGCAGCTCACAACGCCGTCGCCATTACAGTCCTACATCATAATGATTACCTTTTTATAGCACACCCCTTATACCATTTGCAGTAATTCAAGGTATTGTTTACAGTAATGTGTGTGTTGTCAAGGTCGTTCGGGAAGATTGCGTATCAGTTCTTTAAAACAATTTGTAAATTTATAAAATAATCTTGGATGTAACTAATATATTACTCAATATTCTTGATGGGTGATTTTGGACAATTTATGCATTCAGGTTTGAAATTTATAACATTTTTGTGGGAATGTAATATAGTTGACAAAAAAATTGTGGAATTATTTCGGGGCAAGTAACAGTTAAATTATTACTGAAGAGATATTAAAAGAACAGGTTGCATTAACGCGTTCCCATTTTGACTAGCTTTACTGTTGTTGGGTGAGGCAGGTGCGGGTGGGTGATGTGAGGCAGGTGCGGGTGGGTGATATGTGAGGCAGGTGTGGGTGGGTGATGTGAGGCAGGTGTGGGTGGGTGATATGTGAGACAGTGTGGGTGGGTGATATGTGAGGCAGTGTGGGTGGGTGATATGTGAGGCAGGTGTGGGTGGGTGATATGTGAGGCAGGTGTGGGTGGGTGATATGTGAGGCAGGTGTGGGTGGGTGATATGTGAGGCAGGCGCGGGTGGGTGATGTGAGGCAGGTGATGATTCCCAAGGGGGTGTAACCAGCGCGGTCCTTATAAAGGGCCAACCAGCGTGATCTTATCAACCATGTCAGAAGTGATTATGAAAACAAAATCCGATATACCTCAAGATTATTTCTTGAGTCTTGCCTCGCATATTCTCTTTCGTGTTTTGTGTTGCAGAAGTTGCATTACTGCAAGTGTTACTAAAAATGTCAATGTCACTTTTGTTTACTGTTCAGCATATTCAATAATTGTGCTTATTAAATAGAAACCTTTCATAACTGGTACCAAACATGTGTTTAGTACACTTGAAGGTATAACATTTTGTCTGAAATTAATTATTATATTACTGTGATGCCACTGTTCGTGACTATATTAACTTCGGATCACTCTAAAGTGCAAGTAGACAACATTTTAAGCTAAAGGAAAAGTAAAATAAGAGTATTAGACTGCAGGCAAGACAGAGTAATGATGCATTGTACACACTGCACCGAGACACCAATTATATATACAACAGTATCCATAATTATATAAGCACAGAGTCACAGAAAATGTTATCTCTTAAATATTAAATATAAATATCTATATAAACAATAACGTGATGCTTTTGAATATGTAAGTAACTCTTAGTTGGAGCGCATTTGGGTTAGTGAATGTTGTCGTATGTTAGTGAACTTGTGTTGGCCCCAAGTTGACGACACTTCTCTTTAACATAATTAACATCTCACAAGACAAAGAATCCAAATCGGAAGATTTAAGTGAAATGTAATTTATAGAAAGTTAAATATTATCTGGTTCTGCACCAAATTTTATTTTTTCATTAGTACCCATGAATCTTACATGCTATGTATGACCTAAACTGATAATGAGTGCAGATACTCGCTCTGTTAAAAAGAACTACGAAATACAAAAGCTTCGTTAATAAGAGTGTCTTTATATTCATTAATGTCCACGTTGTCAAGGCCTAAACGAAACAATACTGTCAACTGACCCCGTAGTTTCAACCTACTTAAGACGACCTGTTTTTCTCAGTGTGGAACTCAGAGAAGCTCTTCAACCCTTCCTCATTTCAATAGGTTAGGTCAGTTGGTACTGCATTAGGTTTACAACGTATTTTTGAGTTGACAGTTGGAACTAATTAGCGTTTACATTTGCACACAAAACAGTTGTCAAAAATTTGGTATATCGGCCAATGTTAGATGGTTAGCTCTAGGTTTAGTACAGATACTTTGGTTAGGTTCCCTCGCTTTTTCAACCCATCGTTAAACCAGGCTCATCAATTTCATAAATATTTTTCATAATTAAACCACATAGCCTAACCTAATCAAACTAACTTAAGTGAAATCTACAAAACTTAACTCGGTTACTTAACGTAGAACAAACATACAGAGATGAGAACGAGTTTCTTGTTTTAAGTAAACAGATAAATAAAATAATCTTTGGGAGAAGTCTAACAATTTCGTATTTCGAATGCTTGGAGTTTAATTTCTCAACCCTAATGCTATTTGACCTGCTGATGTTATTCTAGCATTACTTTCCCGGAAATATATTGCCCACTTTAGACTATTTCTAACAAAAATCACACAAATACATGTGGATTCTACAAAGCTTCAAAAACATTAATGAGTGAAGAATTTTCTCTTACTGTAGCCTAATGAATGAGCATTTTTTTTTTTTTGCACTTGCTGAAACCCATTATATACAAAAATTAGAACAGTTAGCCTTTCATGTTAACATGCTTCGATAACTTATAAAAGCTTAGTTATTTTATTCACACAAGACACTCAGGTTGGTTCATTACCAAAAGCTGGATTTAGGAGTGTCAGGCCTATGTTTACATCCCATTATTGAGCGCTGTCTGTCTTACCTGCGGAAATCCCGAAAAACTCGTTCGGTAATTTTAATGAACTGTGGCAACATAAACAAAAAATTCTCTCAAATTAATATTATTATAGGTTATAGTTTTGTGTATAGTTGATCCTACGGGATTTTAGGTGTTAGGTTCTGTTGGCAATTAATTGTATTTTCGGCCCCTTAAAATTGTAACATCGTGTTAAAATTTAACACGCTGTTAAAGTTTAACAGCGTGTTCAAATTTAAGAATGCGTCTTTGGGGTCGACCGCTAGATGGAATGAACATAGACTGAGGACGGGTTGCGAACCTGTCCTAAAGTGAATTGTTCATTCATACCAAACAGGATAAAGTTTTATTATTTTTACTTACGCTTGCAAACTTTTTCATGTACTGGCGGACGGTCTTGGCAGCACAGTAAAGATCGAGGACACAGTTCTCAAAAGCTGCAAAATGTAATTAAGCTTTACTCTTTTACCCCAGTTATTGTAATAAATGTTTTTAAATATATCCAGCTTTAATTATGTATATTTCTAGCGAATTTAATAATATTAATAAGTAAAACTTTAGGAAATACTTGTAAATATTCACATAATGAACAATAATCTTTGATCTAGATTAAAAAAACATGACTTTATGTATTGTCAAGTTATGTAAAAACATGACTTTATGTAGTCATGTTACGTAAAAACAAGACTTTATGTATTGTCAAGTTATGTAAAAACATGACTTTATATATTATCATGTTATATAAAAACATGACTTTATGTATTGTCAAGTTATGTAAAAACATGACTTTATGTATTGTCATATTAAGTAAAACACCTGGAGGAAAACAGGAAGTAAACCCAAGTGAAAAACTTAACCCCATAGACTGCGCTGCATGGTACTTACCGCCTTTCACATTGGGGTCGTCGCCTTTCAGAACGGGCTTGCCAGCGTCAGTCCAGTAGGGGAAGGAGATGAGGAACGGTCCGCAGAAGTAGCCACCTCCAGGAGGGGTGTGACAGGGAGAGGTGGCATTACAACTCGTGGACGCCTCGCATAAGCACCCCATGCAGTTGGCACTTATTAAACTGTCAGTCTGCCCTGTTTAAACGAGTGAGAGGGGGTTTATGAGTGCAAATTTCAAACATTTTTGTGGGAATGTAATATAGTTGACCAAAAAATTATGGAATTATTTCGGGGCAAGCTGCATTTGAGACGACATGAAGCACAGCATTTGAGGACACACTAATAGGATTTTCCTCCTTGTCAAGGGCACGTTTCTGCAACACATCCACTAAATCACTGATAACTGACTCTTCAACAACATTTAAACCTGATGCTGTGATCTCACCTCGACTAACAACAATTTATGTTTAAAGCTTTAGAAAACCATATAAATCTGCTTATAAATCCCTAGTTAGAGCAAAATTATTTTATCTCGTGCTTATTACCTAATATGAAAAAGGCCATATTCATCATAAAAAGTTATTAATTAGAAGACTTATGATGCTTGTGTCATAATCGCGGACTAGATTATGCACATTATATTTGCGAGACATTTGCAAAAATAAGATAATAAAGAGCTGCCTGCCCGTCAGCACACGGAGCGACAGTTGGTAACACCAACACTCAAGCGATGATCTCATCATCCCACAAGGATGATGAGTGGATGCGTGCTCTCATCCACGATGGTTCTTAGAGAGTTTCCTTGGAGTCTAGCATCGACAAGCATGCTTTATTTTCTTTTCAGTGTCGTACACAAATAACAGCTGGATTATTACTAAGTAAACAGATACCACCAGGTCTTCTGATGCATTGTAATCTAATTTCGTGATATTCATATGCTTGTGGAATGCAAGCGAATAATTTCAAAATAATTAGATATTATAAATTCGGTGTCATGATGCACTCTATTAATGTTGGGCTCGTTTTTTCACACGATAATTACATTTAATATTCAAGACACAACAATCGTGTGTATTTGTTTAAAAAATTATCCCTAAAGATGTGATAATTAAAAAATTATCCCTAAAGATGTGCAATAAACAAATGATAAAAATTTGGTCCTGCACTGTAAGGGCCGCGTAGGTAGGCAATAAACAAATGGTGCATAAACATGGTGGGACTGTCACAGGGCCGCGTATGGTGGCACTGTCAAGGGCCGCGTATGGTGGCACTGTTACAGGGCCCGCGTATGGTGGCACTGTTACAGGGCCCGCGTATGGTGGCACTGTCACAGGGGCCGCGTATGGTGGCACTGTTGCAGGGCCCGCGTGTGGTGGCACTGTTACAGGGGCCGCGTAGTGCCACTGTAATAAAGTGCACCTCATTTTCTTCAAGGTTGATGTTTAATTTGGGCTTTAGTGTAGAGGGTTTGGGGGGGGGGACTATTACTTGTTAATTACGGTGGCTCAGTGAGTAATGTTCCCCAACACAAAGCGGCAATGAGAAAATAATGGAGCGTTGTATTAATATATAAATTAACGAAATACAAGAAATGCCATAAAAATTGACTTGTTGGAATGTATATTCGAAATTTATGGGCAATACTTTACACAGCAGTTGGGAAGCGATGTTACCTCTAGGTCACCAGTAGCTTGACATGTTATAAAAGGCTGAGTTTCAAGATTAATTGGATGTATATATCAAAGTGTGCTGTGTTTGTTGGGGGTCTATATTTTGAGAATTGTCTTTTAATATGTTTAGAACTAATGTATTCTTACTGGTTAGTCAATAAGAAATGGTGGTGGCCTTAATCAACGACCCCTCAGACGTTGATAGGTTTATTAATTTATTATGGGGTGGCAAGGTGCCTCACCTTCGGTGTATATACACTTTTAATCCACTAAAGTCCTCGACAATGTCTAGCGGTAAAGTATTCTTTCTGGTTAGCGAGAAACCTCTTGGGGTTGTCATATGCCACCACCTCCCGCGGTTGGTGGGCGTCCAGAGCTAAGCTGTGGGCTTCCTACACGTGTCCATGTGAGCTGTTAGATGGGACCTCAAGGTTGTGGTAACAGCACCTCTCGACTCCGCCTCTCTCAACACACCACAAAGCACATCATCAAGAACACCTTTAAAATCAATCAATTTAACAGTGAAAGATGGTGGAGTGGTCCCCGTGCAGAGGTGTCAGGCGGATGTAAGGAACCTGCGTGCGTGTGTGTGTGTGTGTGTGTGTGTAACGAGGTTTAAATTTTGTTCGTCTTTATTTAGACGAGGATATTCGCCAAGCATATCCTCTCCCCAGACCCACGTGCAGCTTGCCTCGTAAATGCTTGAGAGTCAGAGCAACACTGTCCTTGAATACACATCCGCAGGTTTTAGCCTTGCCTCTCTCCTCTCTCATGCTATTCAAATATTAAATGTGAACGCCTCGTGTACAAGCCGTCGCGCTGAAACCGTTCTAGGTGGGCCTGACCTTTGTAGAGATGCCGTTGTCTAGTATTGCCTGTAACTCCTCAGGGAAATTATGATTTACAGGGATTTAAGTTATAGCTCGAGATGTATGCCTTGACGAAACCGGTAACCAGTGGAAGTTAAAATTTAATGTATGCATTTAGTGTTGAGTATAGAACAATTTGTTCAGTGTTGTGGTAGTGCGGATTGTTTGTAATTGTAACAGTCACTTCAGCGTTACAGGTCAGTGACCATTAATTGATCTCAGGGGTGACGAGATCAACGCGTCAGCTGTGAGAGTGTTGGCCACAGCTCTCTCCCAGGATGGCTCGCTCGAGCTCCTGTGGCTCCACTAATAGTGATGATCAGTGCTCTCTCACGATCCTCCAGCTTGCTCTGTAATCATGAACGTCGCTTGCCAGTCACGAACATCTTTATCACCGCTCGCGGCTCCTGGTCAGCAGTAAGCGGTTCTCCAGTGATTCAGATCAACGAGGACTTAATCTGAGACTTTAATAATATGGTCTCGTGGCGAGTACGAGCCCTCACAGGGAAGTCCACGAGGGAGCTTAACCCCGATCACTCACTCATTCTCACTCATCAGCTCACTCATCACTCACACTCACTCATGTGTGATTTTGGTCTTTGTAATGCTCATCACTAACTAGTCCAGTATTTCCACTTTCATCTACATCGTCTCATCGTGTGAGGCCTGTTGGTTGGGCCCTCACATATCACAACCACACCCACACACACACAAGGGCGCCTGGTGGCTGAGTGGACGACACTCAGGACTCGTAATCCTCGGAACCGGGGTTCGATCCCTAGCGATGGCGGAAAACAAATGGGCAGTTTCTTTAACCCTGATGCTCCTGTTACCTAGTAGTAAATAGGTACCTGGGAGCTAGACAACTGTTACGGGCTGCATCCTGGGTGAGTGTGTGTGTGAAAAAAAATTGTTGATTCACTGACAGTTGAGAGGCGGGTCGGAAGAGCAGAGCTCAATCCCCGCAAGAACAACTAGGTGAGTACTGGCGGGCTGGCTGCATGCCTCCCTCTCACTCCTTCAACAAATATTCCTCATTTAACAAAAGGATGAAGACGATGAGATACAAGAAACCTTGGTCTTAACGACCACTCGCGACCCGGTCATTAAGACAACACTAACTGGCTAGTTAGGGATCTAACCATATAATGTTAAACACAAAGGTCATCCATAACTAATAACTAATACTTAAGAGCACTTAATATATAGTTTATGCATTAAGACCAAAACATTTCCAGTGGACTAACTTGTAATGTCAGTAAATGCATCAGTCTTATAAGTTACGATTCATCAGAGATATTCTCCTCAATACTGAGACTTTGGCTCTCTACCTGCAGGAAATAAACAAAGCCTTATAAGGCAGCTATTCTTGCCCACGTGTAGGGAATATAATATATATATATTTATATAACGCTCCACTACGTGGGTTAAGTTCGTTCGCTAGTTGGTTCTTGCGTAAAGCTGGCGACTGACGTTAGTGTACTTTGTATTTATATCGTGTCTGTTCGCCCAAGCTGTGATGTTTGGCACATCTATCGCTGTCCTCTGTGAACTCCACACTCTCCTGTGGAATCTCTCACTCCCACACACACACTCCTACGCTGTAAAAATGTGCAAGGATCACTACTTCCTGGTTTATTGAAATCTCCAAGTAATCATATATAACCACATGAATTTGTGTGTTTATGGATAAGTGTGGATTATGGATTAGTGAGCGCTTATTGAATAGTGTGCAAGAGTGACCATAGGATTATTCTCGCTTATCCCACACGAGAAACTCCTTTTCAACGACCCGTGTACAGACCAGGAAGGCGGCAGGTGTAACTGTTGGTGTGTGAGAGAAGCGGCCGGAGCACCGGTAACCAGGCCAGCTGGTCCTTCTCAGGTGCAGGTCAGGGATGTGTCTCACCACTCAGGGTAGTTAGGTGCGTGGCTCAATTTACGGGGTGCGTCACGGGAAGGCTGCGTCACGATAAAGGGTGCGTCACTACGAGCTGCGTCACGGAAGAGGGTGTATATCATCCCATTTATATGGGATGATATCATGCCATATGGGATGATATGGATTAAGTTAATCATGCCATTCTGAAATAAAACACTAACTGACCAGACTGGTAGGGGGTGGGTAGGGTAAGTAGAGTGTCAACACTTTGGAGTGGGGGGGATGATGAGTAAGAAACTGGCTCCACTACCTTAAAGATGAGTGGTTATGGAAGAGACTGAAGTCACTACCTTAGAGTGGGCGGGCCAGTGTTGGGTGTGATGTCTTACAATGGGCGTGGGTGTATAGAGGAAGTGAGGGTGGAGGCATTACTGTGGGCGGGTACTGATGTGGCTGGCAGGCGTTGACAGAGTTAACCATGGTCACTTTTCCCCCCTTCTCTGTGTTACATGATCTTACTGGTATAGTCTTGTTTTTTTATTATTCTCTCTCTCTCTCTCTCTCTCTCTCTCTCTCTCTCTCTCTCTCTCTCTCTCTCTCTCTCTCTCTCTCTCTCTCTCTCTCTCTCTCTCTCTCTCTCTCTCTCTCTCTCTCTCTCGCTTTCTCTCTCTCTCTCGCTTTCTTTTAGACGGAGGTCAGAGACATGTACAGACTCTCTAAAACAACTATGCCGCAGGCCACAGAGAACAGGACTCGCCACTGTATATTCTGACTGCGAATAATTATTTCCTTATAGTCTTTTATATAATGTTTAATATAAATATATATAAACAATGCACAAAATTCTATTCATATATTTTCTAAGAGCACTGTTATTTGGGACAATGAGTCTGGCATTCCCTGTGTTATACTGGTGTGGGGTATGAGGCTGGGAAGAACCTATTTTTACATTGATTATTCCCAGCAAATTCCGCAACACCAGTTTTATATATTTGTTCTCAAGTATTACTTCGTTCACCATGTCCTCATTATTTCTCTCTCGGTGTGTTGCCTCCTCTCTTAACGCAAGTGAGACACGGGGCAATGGTCGCCACGTCAAGGAGGTCATTAGACTCCTTGAGTCTTGTGTCTTTATCCTTGAGGAGTCCCTCCACCCCTTCTCTCTCTGTGTGTCTGTGTGTGTCTCTCTCTCTCTCTCTCTCTCTCTCTCTCTCTCTCTCTCTCTCTCTCTCTCTCTCTCTCTCTCTCTCTCTCTCTCTCTCTCTCTCTCTCTCTCTCTCTCTCTCTCTCTCTCTCTCTCTCTCTCTCTCTCTCTCTCTCTCTCTCTCTCTCTCTCTCTCTCTCTCTCTCTCTCTCTCTCTCTCTCCCACTCCTACGCCCTCTCGACTGACTCAAGGGAGTGACGCCCACCCACATCAAAACAAAGGTGTCGGGACAAGGTGAAACTGTAGTTTTTGTTGCTCTGGTTTTTTATTATGGTCATAATGGAGCCGGCGGCGGGTGTAGGCTGGTATCCGGCTCGTATCTGGCAAGTTTCTATTTCTTATGCCCACATGCATGAACTCTTGACAACTTGGAGGTCATTCCTCTTTTCTTGTACGTGTGTATACGTGTGTCTGTATACATATAGCAGTGTGTGTGTGTGTACGTGTATCTGTGTACGTGTATCTGTGTACGTACGTGTCTAAAAGGCATGTATATTATTCTTTGTTTTCGATTTCCTTTGATCAGCTTCCATCCCATCTTATGCGATTCAAACTCCAGATTTTGTAAAGTAAATTTAATGCATTTACAGATATTAAACCCAGCAGGTCACTTATGTGAAGCAGTCATCACTTATGTACAACTGAGTAAATGAACTCTACTCACATAAAGTGATCCAAAACTCCTACAAAAAGGCTAAATTTGCCTGTAACTTAAGCTTCTGGACTCCTGGGACCATTAAAGCCGCAAGATACCAAGATTCAACCTTCATTATATACACTTTAATCCCTCCCAGAGTTCTCTGTGTATATACCTCACATGTGTGGATGGAAGGATTTACCAGGAGTAATCCGATTCTGGGACAACTGTTTACGAAGATGAGACGCGTCTACTTTCACAATAAAAGGAGGATGGAGATCACTGCCGTTTAAATAACACTGAAGGGAAGAGCAAGTAGCGAAGCTGTGCTGCAAGGAACAGCTCGCGGTGGGAAAGTGTCCTAGATTGTATAAGGCTGCCACATGCGAGGCTACCACATATGGAGGCTGCCACATGCGAGGCTACCACATATGGAGGCTGCAACATGAGGAAGACGGGACGACCCATAGGTTAAGACACGCGAGGAGTACAATGCATATAAGCAATGACACTTGCAAGACAGTGAAGCCTCGACAACCTTTGCTCCCCTAAGTCAACACCTCGACCTCCATCGGACCCCCAGCAGAGAACCCGGGGCGCGCATAAGTGTTCCCGCCTTCACAAAGAATAACGGTACATAAGAGCTGTTATTCTTTTATAGATAAATCACTCCAATTTTCTAACACCTCCTTGAGGTTACCTTGAGATGGTTTCGGGACTTAGCGTCCCCGCGGCCCGGTCCTCGAACAGGTCTCCAGAACAGATGACATATTCCTCGAGAAATAGGACTAGTACCTTACATTTCCGCAAAGTTCCTGATACGATCGTGGCTAATGATGGTGTTCACAGCTTTCTCAAGTATGTAAACAAATATACGAAGGAACTACCATATCTCATCCTGAAGTGATCATTCATTTTCGCAACGAGATATGATTCCAGAGAATCCATTGATTCTTCTTCCCCCACAAGGTAATAAAGTAATCACAGTATATACAGGGAAACCTACACCTGTTGGTGTATAAACACGGATTTTACAGTGATAAATATATCGTACGTCAATGACACTGCCGTCTGACCCTCGCATCTCTAACGATGCAAGTCACATCATGACTTGCAGCAAGCAACAACCCTCCCCAACCTATGAGCAACATGGGGGGTGGTGAAGCGGGTGGGAGCGAGCAACATGGCGGAGGCCGAGTGAGAGTTACTGAGACAAACGACAGTCGGAACAGATGATGGCTGAAGAGGAAGGTGCAGGACGGAGAGAGGAAGATTCCCGCGTGAAGACTGGAGGTCAGCCAGCAGGGAAGTGGGCGGGCGCTGGTGAGTCAGGACGATGTGAGAGAGTAATCACCCACCGTGTACTCAACTGAGAGTAATCACCCCACCGTGTACTCAACTGTGAGTAATCACCCACCGTGTACTCAACTGTGAGTAATCACCCACGGATGATCACAGATGAGAGGCGAGACAGTCGTTTGCCACAGTCGTCTCCATATTCATCAGTGCTCGAATGACATCATCATGATGGGGCAAATTGTCAAGAAAACCTGGTAATTCATTCCAACGCTGAAGTTTAGTGTTGAAGCGAAGAAACTTCCCCAAGAGTGTGCAGCAACTTTAGCACTCCAGTACTGCTCCCAAACAAGGAAGAAATCATTTATTTCTGGCACATTTGCATCCGCCAGTCGTAAAATCTTGTGCAAACGCTTGTCTTACACAGCACGTAATTGAGGGCTCCACGGAGAAGGCCGTCGACAAGTATTGGAAGGACATTTCATTCACGAGTTAGGTGTTGTGGTTGTAGTCCCGTGACCCGCGAGAGATCAGCTTGTGTCACGCTGACAAAGTTAAGATCGTGTCTAAGCAACAGTTGATACCTTCGTCAAGATGACCATACGATACAAAGGAAATATATACATGTTACAGTATCATACAATAATCTGCCATTCATCAGCTCACAAACAAATGAGGAACACTCACAGTAACTCAGACCTGTGACTTACCATGTACTAAGACAGTCATGATGGCAGCCGTCAAGCCAATCAGTACCGTCTTCACTATCGCCATTACTGTCTTCTGTCCTCGTCTCCCACTGTCTCTTAAGATATCTCGCGACCTACACACACTCAGCAACCGGCCAAGTAACGCGAAGATTGGTTTCTGAAGTGACTATAAGAAGGGTAAGACTCAACAAAGTCGGCTCGAGATGGTAAGTGGAGGGAGAGAAGAGTGCGAGACGTCGTGACTCCTCTCGTCGACTGCTGGGGCCTGACTGGCAGCGGTCCGCCAGTGCAAGAGATCTACCTGGCGCTGCTCTCTTAGTCCCACCCACAAATTTCATTACGTTTCGTGTTATTTCCTTTCCTCCTGTCCTTGAAACCTTAACTTTCCTTCATCCCACGTATATAAACAGGTCAGCAGTATAGCACAGCTTCTCCTCACTAAACCCCCAAAATAATATTCGGTCGCAATATATTATTGACAAATAATCTTATATCTATGAGGTATGTGTTCCTAAGTTATCTTGTGAGTGTTCATTGGAGGTAGTCTACGGTTGTCTCAAGAGTGTCTTCAAGTGGCTGAGACGTCAAATGAGAAGTAAGGTTGTGAATGCCAAGTAGTGTGCAAGGAAGGGGGGGAAGGAGCCGAGCCCTGCGCCAAGATTTCTTGGAACTCCTACAAAGGAAAATTTTAGTTTGATACATCCGGTATAGCCAAAGTGAAAATGGTCATAATAACTAGATTTTTTTTGTACTGTATACATATGCAGGTTTGTAGGGTGTGAAAGGGGTTTGTAGGGTGTGAAGGGGGTTGTAGGGTGTGAAGGGGTTTGTAGGGTGTGAAGGGGGTTGTAGGGTGTGAAGGGGTTTGTAGGGTGTGAAGGGGTTTGTAGGGTCTGAAGGGGTTTGTAGGGTGTGAAGGGGGTTGTAGGGTTTGTTACACATTGGGCCTGAAACTATTATATACGCGTGTTATTGTTGTTCAGCTGAGTGTGCTTATGTGTAGAGACTCAAAGAGCGGAGGAAACTTTGCACAAACTTTCCTCAGGTTGGGCTCGTCCACCCACCGGTCCACCCACCGGTCCACCCACCGGTCCACTCACCTGGCCGTCCACCCCCAACACCCATCGGTGTACCCTTCTCCAGCAGCACTATACGCTCACGTCCTCTGCTTGAATGGCGCCTCTCTCAATGGTTCGCCCACGCACCGCAAATATCAGTAACTGCCAACACAACCTAACTTAACCCAAGTCTAGCTATTCAACTTAACCTAAGTCTAGCTATTCAACTTAACCTAGGTCTGGTTATTCATCTTAACTAAAGTCTATCTATTCAACTTACCGGAACTTGTACGAGCCTAGCATGTGGATGCGTTGGATTAGCGAGAATTTGGCCGCTTGTGAGGTCGGGCTGCGCACGGGACCTTGACACCGGCAATTGTTTCTATGGGGTTCAGCACGAGGCGGGAATTCCGCACTGGTAAAATCCCGGAGCTGCTGCTGTTGTTGTTATAAATTCAGCTACACGGAACAGGTTCCAAGTAGCACGGGCTATGGTGAGCCCGTAGTGGACTTACCTGGCACAGGAGCGGGGCTCATGATCCCGGAGGTGCTGGGTTTTTCTGTCTATAGTATGTCAGTCGACTGTTATACTGTACTTATTGTACTGTATCGATACCTTACTGTATCGTCACTGATAGTACCCCATGGCATATATAGGGCCTTAGTCAGGTCACAGTACCGTGGCAAACAGTCTTAGTGAGCTCACTGTACCGTGGTATAGTTTTAGTGAGCTCACTGTACCGTGGTATAGTTTTAGTGAGCTCACTGTACCGTGGAATAGTCTTAGTGAGCTCACTGTACCATGATATACAGCCTTAGTGAGCTCACTGTATCGTGGTATAGTCTTAGTAAGCTCACTGTACCGTGGTATAGTTTTAGTAAGCTCACTGTACCGTGGTATACAGCCTTAGGGAGCTGCTTCCAGATTCTTGTGATTATCGTACATAGGCAGCAGTGTGTAAACAAAGAATGGAATGTTTGTCTAACATTTTTACTTATTATTTTTACGCAATACAGGAAAGAAGAAATTAGAATCGGACAGATTCAATTCGTTGAAAATCTGATGGATAAACTGAATACTTTAAAAGTCTGAGGTGTGGATTCAATACTTGATTGCTTGGTGGATATATGGAATAGTTTGAAAGTTTAATGGGTAGATTTAATACTTCGGAAGTCCGAAGAATGGAACTGATGAGAGAATTGTAAATTGGCACAATTGTTCCTCCAAGAATGAAAAGAGTGCAAGATAGACTCTTATACAATGGAGAAGTGAAAGAGGAGAGTGCATTAGCGCAGACCTTAAACTGTGAGAGCTGTGCGTAATCAAAAGTTCTATTGGAGGGGTACCATTGTATAAAAGTAAGGGGAATTGCTGTAAGTGTAATAGTTGTAGATGCACTAGTCTATTGTGTGCAGCATGTGCATGGCAGGGGTAGTGATGTGGGGCGCAGAGGAAACAGTGAGAATTAGTCATTGATGAGAAAGTTAAGTCATTGTTAATAGGGATAGCAAAGCGGAGGACCAATGCAGTATGAAACGCTATATACCGACATTATGAGGAGAAAGTATGACTATATAGCACTTGGAAGGGATATGAGAACACGGCAGGAGCTGGGATATGAGGAAGTAGTGAAGTGCTCAACTACTGAAGAGCATATTAGATGGAAAAGAAAGTCTCCGGGGTGAGGGGTGAAAGGGTGTCAGACATATTCAGTAGAGAGGGGAGCAATAACTTTAGTGGTTCTCTCCCCACTGAGGTTACATCATCTACGGGCTCACCATAGCCCGTGCTACTTAGGACTTTTTGTTCCAGGTAGCGATCTTTAACAACAACAAACATCCCCACTGAGCACGGGAGACATCTCCCGTCACGCAGGGTGCAGTCGCACCTCCACAGATCTCTAGTATCAGCTCTTGATACTGGTAATGGCTCAAAAGGGCCACCACTTACGGGCTATTCATGCCCGTGCCACCTTTTGGGGTGGCTTAATCTTCATCAATCAATCAATCCCCGCTGAGGCTGTAGCAGCTGGATTGCCTGCCTGTAGGCCTAGGTGGAACTGGGACAGCATCTCCCGGCCTGGTGCTGTGCATGCCCCTGGAGATGTTCACCATCACGGTGTCACCCACAGAATTTCCATCGGTGGTTCATAGGATCTTAGGAGGACAGGAATGCTGGCAAGGCCACGTGTACCTCCCCTCCAGGCAGCCCTGTCTGGGCCGGGGAAGTTGTGTCACCGAGTCATCCTGTGGAAGGTTAAGCACGATCTTTAGAGTGGGCTTCGTCTGAACCTTTAGAGTGGGCTTCGTCTGAACCTTTAGAGTGGGCTTCGTCTGAACCTTTAGAGTGGGCTTCGTCTGAACCTTTAGAGTGGGCTTCGTCTGAACCTTTAGAGTGGGCTTCGTCTGAACCTTTAGAGTGGGCTTCGTCTGAACCTTTAGAGTGGGCTTCGTCTGAACCTTTAGAGTGGGCTTCGTCTGAACCTCTAGAGTGGGCTTCGTCTGAACTTTTAGAGTGGGCTTCGTCTGAACCTTTAGAGTGGGCTTCGTCTGAACCTTTAGAGTGGGCTTCGTCTGAACCTTTAGAGTGGGCTTCGTCTGAACCTTTAGAGTGGGCTTCGTCTGAACCTTTAGAGTGGGCTTCGTCTGAACCTTTAGAGTGGGCTTCGTCTGAACCTTTAGAGTGGGCTTCGTCTGAACCTTTAGAGTGGGCTTCGTCTGAACGCCGCACTCGCTTATTTTCGTACACTTGGAGTATTGAGAACGTATAAAAAGCTTAAGGAGAAAGATCAGTTTAGATTATATACCAACAAATTATGGAAAAATGTTGGTTTGGTAATAGGGTTGAACCACCATTAAATATAATTGACGTGTGATCTCTGGATTGTTTCAAGCGTAGGTTAGACATGTATTTGAAAGAGTTTGGATGAGTATAAACAGCAATTGCCTCGCATGGGCCAATAGACCTGCTACAGTTTCCTCTTATTCTTATGTTGATAAGTTATCTATGTGGAGCACAACTATGTGGCCAACATTGTCTTCAAGACACTTTAAACCTGCGATTCCATTCCTGGCGATTTAGACGACGACTTTGGGCACACAAGTGGCCCCAAGATGGGTATTATCCAAGGGATCCCTGAAGTGCACTCCTGACGAGGCAGCTGTAATCTGATTACAGAGCAGACTGATCACATTTACTGGGTTTAGAAAGAGGGCTAGATTGTATCTCGGCTCTGTGATGGTATCCTAGCTCTGTGATTGTATCCCGGCTCTGTGATTGTATCTTAGCGTTGTGATTTTTTTATATTGCCTCCAGCTGTGATTCAGTGTTGCAGGCTAGAGTACCGACGGCCACGAACCGGACACTGAGCTCATTGGAGACTTAATGCGACTTAATGTCCAAGATTATGATACGAAGAACAAGGGGGTCACCCGCTGGACGCCTCCTCCGAGCCGCTGCATCCGTTCTACTGTACGGACCAGGGGGGGGGGGCCAGATTCACGAAGCACAAACGCAAGTACTTACGAACGTGTACATCATTCCTCAATCTTTGACGGCTTTGGTTACATTTATTATAGAGTTTATAAGCATGAAAACTTCCCAATCAACTGTTGGTATTGTTATAAACAGCCTCCTGGTGCTTCAGAGCTCATCAATTGTTCAATAATTATAAACAAAGCCCCCCAAAGATTGAGAAAAGATGTACACGTTTGCAAGTGCTTGCGTAACTGCTTCGTGAATCTGGCCCCAGGTATAGAGGAGGAAAATCGGTAATAGAGAGATCGTGAAGTTATATTTAACTATAGAGCCCCTCTGGTCTGGGGGAGAGACGGGGGCTACCAGCGGAGGTCCCCAGCGGGATACCTGCCCCAGCCCCCAAGCTACGCCGTGACGTCACTTCCTTACCCTTGTGCCGTGACGTCACAATCGACAGTCATTCACCACCATATGCGTGGTGACGTCAGTGTGTGCCACGACGTCACCAGCAACACTCATAATTCCCCGCCCATGGGTGATGACATCAGTGTATTCAAGCGGAATCAACATGTTCTTCATAGCGTTATTGTTACACTAATATTCAAACTGAATTCGAAGGAGAGTATTCCTAAGTCTTGTAAGCAGACTAGAAGAAGCGAAATATTAATTCACTCTCAGGATTGGCTGTTGTTGCTGTAGGTAGTTGTTCAAGTTCAAGTATGTTATTGAACAA